ACCAATACCGACGTTACGACTTACGTCTCAAAGGTTTTCTTAAACGTACAGAAATGGTTTGGCTTCATAAGTCAATCGCAGCATTTCGCATATTCGATACCAGAAGGCGAGTTGGCCAATGGGTCTTTTCGATTATTCTTCAGGGTGTGTTGAGGTTCTTTTGTCTGTATTGGCATTGAGCAGTTTCAGATGAAAAGCAGAATTGTTTGGGAATTAAGGAATGGGCACCGGATTAAAATTACTTTCTACCATGCTGTAGCAGCCTTTACGAATAACTCAAACTTTTAATAGACTGTTAAGCGAATGAGTGTTATTTGAGCTGTGACTAAACGGTAACTTCGAAGCTCCGTTCTTTTACCGATCCGTTTTCAAAGCCCATTCTCTCTTTCCGATTACTCAGGCAACAGTTTCATGGAGCTTTTTCACTGTCCACCTCTCTTCATCAGTTGAAGAAGAAGCTCATTGGTCCGAATCAAAGGTCGCGAAAATACCTAACTGATGGTTTCATAAACGATGTTTATGTTTTTGTTTCAGAATGGACAGCCTCAGGCAATAATCCTGAATCACTTTGGTCAGCCCTTAGGAATTGGATCTCAGCAGACCGTTTTCGCGGTTCCGTTCACGCCAACTTCACAGCCGCCTTCGAGTGAATCCATCGGTGGTGCCAGTGGTGCTGGCAGTTCCAAGCCGCTTGCGCAGCAACCGCCGTCAACACCAATCCACCAGCCACCGTTGGTCATGGCCTACCGGGCACCGTCCGTCCAGCATCCGGTCGCATCGCAGTTGTCAAACTTCAATGTCTCGAACACCACCCATCAGCTGCCGTTGTTTCCGAACGTAGGCTCGAACGCGACCTCCGCTTTAGCGGCTGTGTCCGCGTTCAATGCACCAATCTTACTGCCCACCGGTCAGATGGTCTTTCGAACTCCTCACGGTCAGTTGATCGGATTTCAGGTAAAATCGTTTGTTGTTACTTTTTGAAATTCTGTAGTACCTGAAAGAGTAAATAATGTACCTTACAGAAGAAGTGGGAGCGAAAACGACTTATTTGTTTGAAATTAAGACGTTGTTTATGGTTTGTGAATAATGTACTGACTGCTTGTGATAACTTTGTCCTGGCCCGCCTCAAGTTTCATAGTTTCAGGTGCCCGCGCTTAACAGGAACGGGATCTGCACAGACCCTTCTACCGCAGCTGCCGCCGGTGTAACGGCTAGCCATTTCTCGGCGAAATTCCCCCTTCCAAAGACGTATTCAAATTCCGTTCCGCTAGCCAGTCATTCAGCACAGCATTCGACGACCTTGAACCATGGCGTTTCTAAACATTCTGTGTCTTCTGGCAAATCTCACGCCCACGCGGATCCTCGGGACACAGCAGAGGCAAAAGCCGTCGCTGCGGCCATCGTTGCAGCTACCGCAGCGAAAGCCGCTACTATAAGCAGCACGAAGGTGTCATCGACCAAAGATGTGAAATCAGACAGTGCAGCTCCCGAGAAGACAGTCGACAAGATGTCGAAGCAGCGTAGCTGCGACGCGAGCAGTGTCGTTCCAGAAGCCGTCTTAAATGGCACCATGGGCGTAGAGACGACGGAACTAGAAAAACGTACTCAACCTCAGCCGTCACGGCCAGTGACTCCTCCACGAGGTTCCCCTCTAAGCCCGTTTCTTTCTCCAAAGGAACTGATCGACGAAGGTTCACAGAAGTTCACCGTTACGGTCGACAGTGATATTCACGCAATGTTTCTACAGCAGCTGGAGGAGTACGCCAAATCCGCCAAACCTCAGGTAACTATTTCTCTCTCATTACCGTTATAACGCTTGTTTTTCTGTAGGTACTCAATCA